TATACTATAGATTTGGGAAATTTCTTGCGTATTATTTGCAATGGTTGGTTCACAAAATATTGGCACAGGGAGGGGCTATTTAACATACCCTGGGGGAGAACGGTCCAGTGGTACCTCCTCGAAGGTTGAGAATTGTTATAACTAGGCACTGTGAAGGCAAATTTTTCTCTATCTTCTTTTTGCAAAGGTATAGTGAAAAAACAATCCTTTAAATCAATAACTATGAGAGGCCATCCTTTTGGTAATAAAGAGGGCAAAGGAATTCCAGATTGCAGAGGGCCCATAGGTTGAATAACCTTGTTGATGGCCCTGAGATCTGTCACCATTCTCCATTTACCTGATTTTTTCTTAACCACAAATACAGGAGAATTCCAAGGGCTGGTAGATTCTTCTATATGTCCAGCATCTAATTGTTCTTGTACCAGCTGTTCTAAAGCCTGTAACTTTTCCTCAGCTAAAGGCCATTGCTTTGTCCATATTGGTTTCTCAGTCAACCATTTTAGAGGCAAGGCTGTTGGTATCTCTGAAGGGACATCAATTGCTTGTTCTTTTACAGCCCGAATGGCCGGTTTTCTCAGTTTGTAATATCTTTTAATATTATTCTCAGAAATATAGGCTCTAGATTTAGCAGGGATGTTAATTTCAGTATTCCATTGTTGTAATAGGTCACGACCCCATAAATTCATTGCAATATTGGCTACATATGGCTTTAATTTTCCTATTTGTCCCTCTGGCCCTATACATTCAACCCATCTCGTGCTCTGCCTTACTCGAGATAGGGTTCCAATTCCCAGGAGCTGAACATTTACATTCTGAAGAGGCCAATACGGATGCCAAGATTCTGGGGTAATGATACTTACATCAGCACCTGTGTCCAGCAGGCCAGTAATAAAAATGCCATTTACACACACTCTCAGTTTAGGTCTTTGATCATTTATAGAAGTTTGCCAAAACACACGTAACTTATCTTTCTGATCATTATTGCTTGTAACAGTAGGCATGGGGCTTCCTAATTGTCCTGATGAGGCACGTTCTCTGCAGAAACTGGATATGACTGAACCATGTTTGCCATGGGGGCCTGTGAGGCCCCCCCTCTCACGTTTCCCGGCTGTATCAGGTTGCCTTGTCTATCTCTTGTAGACCTGCATTCATTCGTCCAATGTCTGCCCTTTCCACATCTTCTACATAAACCTGAAGGCTGAGTCCTCCTATTTCTGTTATTTCTAGAAGATGCATTATTATTATTATTTCTGAAAGATGCATTATTATTATTATTATTATTATTATTTCTGAAAACCCGTTGTTTACAATTCCTTTTAATATGACCCATTTTTCCACAATTAAAACATTTGGTATTCTGGTGTCTCCTTTTACCATTGGAAATTGCTTCTTCTACCCATGCTTCAGTGCCATAATCAAATGTATCAACATTGAGTGTATGCAAGACCCATTCTTCCAACGGCGCTGATCTGAGCTTTAAAGGACCCAAAATCCTTTTGCATTCCACATTTGCATTTTCATAAGCCAAAGACTCAATCATTATACGTCTTGCTTCTGGGTCAGATATTCCTATTTGTACAGCCTTAGTTAATCTTTGTAAAAAGTCACTAAAGGGTTCTCTCTGACCCTGTTTAACTCTGACAAATGATTCCATTCTCTGTCCTGGGTCTTGTACCCTGTCCCAAGCCCTTAAGGCTGCTGTAGTACACATGGAGAGTGTGTTTTCATCCAAATTAGCTTGTTCCTGAGGATCGGAAAAGGGCCCTTCACCTAGAATTTGATCTAGGGAAATGTCAATTCCCTTCGCTTTTTCCTGCTGTTCTAAGAGTCTAGCCTCTTGCCTGAATAAGCATTTCCATTTCAATTGCGGTCCACTCTCGAGTACCGCAGAGCTCAGCTGGAGCCAGTCTGAGGGGGTTGCTCTGCTTGTCGTGGCCCAAGATCTTAGCATCTCTTTAACAAAAGAGGCTTGCATCCCAAAAGTCATGACAGCCTGTTTTATTTCCTTGAGATCATTCATACGCACAGGCTCCCATGTATCCTCCTTGATGACCCTAGGGTTTTTGGAACCAATCACCTTCTCTGTTGTTATTACTGGAAAGGCAGGTAGAGCTGTAGGTAGAGCTTTGTGGAAATTGTCCCGGAGAGACTTACCCACAGATGTAGTTAAAATTTGCCTTTCTACCCTTTGCTCTTCTTCATCAGAATTTAGAAATTCCTCAATCTTTTCAATTCTGTTCACCATTGCCTTCTGCAATGTCTGAAACTCCTGTCCAGAATTATGTTCCAAAGCCTTCATTGAGGATTCTAATGTATGAAGTTTGTCCGTTAGAGATAACATCTCATCTTTGGACATAATTTTTATGGCATAAACCGTGCCTTCTTGTATTGACAATCTTTCCGTCAATCTGTCATAAGCTTTAGACAAAATCCGATTGTCACATTCAGCAGTTTTGATTCTCTCAGTTAATGTTTCCTTTCCAACAGAAAGGGACTGAATCTTATGGTCCAGATCAGCTGTTCCCTCTTCCATACTAATGAATTTCTCCTTAACATCAGCCTGAAGAACTTCAACCTGATTCTTGAGAAGATTGTTATCAGCCTGGAGAACTTCAAACTGATTCTTGATAAGATTGTTATCAGCCTGGAGAACTTCAAACTGATTCTTGAGAAGATTGTTGTCATTCTCAATTGTTTTTAAGCGTTCAATCTCTACCTTAAGAATCCTGGATTCGTCTCGTAAAGACTTTATCATATTTCTATTATCAAACCATTTGGTGCCAATGAAAACTACGACTCCCAGAAGGATCCATATATGTGGGGTGATAGACACCTCTTGTAAAATCTCCCACATGGTACAATTAAAAAAATCATTAAATTCTTGAACAGTAATGTGTTCAGACATTTTATTTATAAAAGAAAAATTTTTTTACCTGCAAAGATCGGTTCCTGCCAGTGGTGGTCTCTGTGTTTTTGGAGCCTGTCCTAGAACTAGCTCTTGTAGACCAGGCTGGCCTTGAACTCACAGAGATCCGCCTGTCTCTGCCTCCCAAGTGCTGGGATTGAAGGCGTGCACTACCAAGGCCTGGCAGGCCTCAAACTCACAGAGATCTGCCTGCCTCTGCTTCCCAAGTGCTGGGATTAAAGGCGTGCTCTACCACTGCCTGGCCGGCCTCAAACTTGTGATCCTCCTGCCTCTGCCTCCTTCAGCAAATCCTACCAGCGTGCGCCACCACAACCGGCCAAGTCACTTTGTAACAGACCAAATCTGACACTGTGGCAGCTTTTGTTGCAAAACCGCAAGTACTTGAGCTTCTGCTAATTCAGGCAGTGGGGTTCCGCTGCAAAACTTAGCCAAGGCAGGCAGAATGGGCCTGTGTCGCAGAGTGTGTCTCGGACTCGGCACTGGGGCCGGAGTCACGAACTGAAAAACAGCACCCGGGAGGGTGCTGTGTTAGCTAGCGGGCTACCCGCTTGAGTCGGGGGCAAAATAGCCCGACGTTGGACGCCAAAATGTAGCGGCGTAAACGAATGCAGACAGAGTGTAAATATATATATATATATATAGCTTTAATGTAGAAATAGACTTACAGAACCACCGTTCCCGCGGAGACCAGGAAAGCAGAAGCGAGCAGCTCGGAGCTTGCTCGCCAAATTTATAGGCAGACATTAGCCCGAGGCGAACACGCCCCTTAAGGGGCGGGACTTATCCCTACACATATACTAGCCTCAAGCAATTATAAATTGGATCTTTGAAAAGGTGATATTAAATATTTATATAGAAATTTGATAAAACATAAAATTTCAACATTAAAAACTATAGTGTATAACTAAAAGAAATCAAAGATCTAGAGGAGTGGAGAAATATAACACATCTCTAAATAGTCAATATATTTTGATGTTAATTCTCTCCAAACTCATCTACAGACTCGATACAATCCTTGTGAAAAACTCACTGAAATAAAAAACTATTGCTAAAGTTTATATGGAAATACAAATATCTATAATGCCCCAAAGAACTTAGAAAAAAGAAAGGGAGTAGATACGATGATGAAGCTAAACATATATGTGTGTATATGTGAAATTTTCAAAGAATAATTTCTTAATGATTTTTTTTTGTTTCTGCATGAGCATGTGCTGTGTGAATGGGTGACTGCAGAGGCCAGAAGAGGGCTGGGGTTACAAGCAACTGTGAGTTGTGAGACGTGGGTCCTGGGCAGTGACTTTAGGTCTTCCAGGAGCCATCTCTCGAGCCCCATCAAAACATAAACTTAAAAATCCTAACTAGAAAAAGACGAGGAAGGAGTTACAATAAACTTAGAATTGTTACATAATTACAGAAATCGTATAGTGCTGCATTAACACAACACCTCTATCAGATCTGGGAACGCTGAAGTTGATCCATAAAATAGAATGTCCAAGTTGGAATAGGAAAATATGGCACCTTGATGCGGGAGAGATTGCCTTGCCAAGGGTGTGCTGAAACCAGCTCACGCCAGCTTGCAAACTCTGACTTTGCAAATCTCTCTCTCTCTCTTTTTTTTTTTTTTTTTTTTTTTTGAGACAGGGTTTCTCTGTGGCTTTGGAGCCTGTCCTGGAACTAGCTCTGTAGACCAGGCTGGTCTCGAACTCACAGAGATCCGCCTGCCTCTGCCTCTCTCCCTAATTCCACAGTCAGGGATATCACTCAGCTAGCTTGAATACAGCCTGGTGGTAAAGTGACACCACAGGAATTGACAAATGCCAATAATCGGGTTGTTACTATTTTTCTTGTCTTGTATAGCCAGATGTAACACATCTATTGGCATTCCACTGAAGGTGTTTAGAAATGTGTAGGGTAAATTATTTCACTAGCATGTGTATATATTAGAAGTTGTCAAAATACATTGTCTTTGCTTGAGTGTTTATATGTATCTCTTTGAGAGTGACAGGTGTGCAGTGTGCACATTCCTTCTCCCTTCCTGAGAGTGCCTTTGTTGACTGTTGCCATTACCCTACAGGCCCTGGAAGCTTGCAAGGATGCTGGCTTGGTGAAATCCCTTGGGGTATCTAATTTTAACCGCAGGCAGCTGGAGGTCATCTTGAACAAGCCAGGACTCAAGTACAAGCCAGTCACCAACCAGGTACAACAGAGAGGCTGGCTCTCACTGTGTGGGGAGAGGCACCCAGTAGAATTTTTAACAACTACATTTGATTATAGGCTTTAATTTTGTTCTCTGCTCTGTAATGGAACCGCACAGGTGGAGTGCCACCCCTATTTCACCCAACCAAAACTCTTGAAATTTTGCCAGCAGCACGACATTGTTGTTGTCGCATACAGCCCTTTGGGGACTTGCCGGAACCCAATGTGGTAAGTAATGCTGTATTCTCTTCAAGAAGTCTTCCCTTCTATGTGGATAGGACACACAATCAGAGGGAATTAGCAACCAGAGGGAATTAGCTAAGCAGAAGGATTCTGGCTGTGGGATCTTCAAGAAATGGCTTTTTCAAGCCAAGATCATGAAAACTCACCATACCTTCCTCACTGAAAGGTTACCCATTGACCGTATTAAACGTATGATGTTTCCTGTTGCCGCCTGATCTGTAAGAAACTCAGTAAATGGTGAAGTGTCGTTAGATAGAGTCTCCGTGACTGTGTTCTGCGAACTTGTAAGCTGTTGAATTCAGTACACAGTGGCAACACCTTTGAGGGAATCCAAGGAGCTTTAGGAAAATGTCTACCCTGGTAGCAAGAGTTGAGCTACTTTCTTCTACTTCAGTCTTTTTTGCCTTTCCCTCTGTGTCTGCTTCAGATCAAACTTCCTGTAAAACTCTTGATCCCACAACCACACTATGAAGAGAGAGAGCTTGGTGTGTGTGTGTGTGTGTGTGCGCGCGCGCACACACACGCACATGCACGCACATGTATGTATAGACATATATATGTGTATGTTATTTGTCCTCTGCATCAGCTCACCTGCCTTTCCTGATCTCATGCTAAATGCCACTCTTCATTCCATAATTCACTATGGGTGACTTGAGTGTCCTGGCGGTGACCAAGTCGCTGGGGACAACAGTAGGGTGACTGATGAACTCTAGCCTCTTGTCTGTTTTCTTCCCCCCAAGGGTGAATGTATCATCCCCATCCCTGTTAAATGACGAGCTTTTAAACTCACTGGGGAAAAAGCACAATAAGACAGCAGCTCAAATTGGGTTACGTTTCAACATCCAGCGAGGAGTGGTTGTCATTCCCAAAAGCTTTAATCTCAAAAGGATCAAAGAAAACTTTCAGGTAAGAGAACGACCTTTGGAAATGAGGGAAGATGGCAGTGTGTGCTCTCGCTCCTGGAGAATGTTCTTGGAAACTGTGATGACCTACATCTAGTAGATCCTTCATGTCATCTGTCTCACATTCCCCCCTTCTGAGTGTCCATCACATCAAACACTCCTCTGCCTGTCTAACTCCCATCAACAGACAGACTTCTGATGTTGGAAACTTAAAGCCAATGCAGACTCATTTTCTCTGGCCATTTCCAGTGTTCTCTTTCTGTTTTCCATCAGCCTCTTAAAAGGGAAATCTGCTCTCAGCTCACTGCCCCTACTACCTTAGACCCATTAAAACTGGGATTATTCCCTGTAGACTGTACGAGGCAGCTTTTCTCTGGTCACCGGGGACTTCTGCATGAGTAACTCCGGTACTTCGTTCTCAGTCCTTGTGGGTTAGAGATTTCAGACCCATTTCTTCCTGTTGGCATTCTCTCCTTCTGGGAATGTTTGCTCTGATGGGAACCTCTATGACATGTAGGCTTTGAGAACAATGGCAAGAGTTTGATTTGTCGGTTTCTGTTTTTGATAGGGTCATCTGCAGTCCATGCTGACCTCAAACCTCTATCTACCTAAGGATGGCTTTGAACTCTTGATCCTTTTACTTTCACCTTATAAGCTCTGAGATTATAGACACGGTTACCTGGCAGTTAAGAATTTAATTTCATAGTATGACGTCTTCATTCACATAAGATAGTTTGTGCCATGAAATAAAAAAAAAGACCACATTGAACAAGGAAAATTGTTAGAAGCAACATAGGAAGGGAGAATTTTGAAGTTTATCTTGAAGTTAAAAACCAAAATTTATAAAAATACATGGACTTATTTGGTCCACAGCAAAATGTAAGTTCTAGTTGTCTACATGCACCAAATCCTAGAAGAAACGGAATCAGTGCTGGCTTTTTAAGAGATATTTGACGAATTTATGTCACGTACAGCCCAGAATCCTATATTTCATAGAGACTTTTATAGAATGATCTTAAAGAGAATAAATTTCATCTGAAGGGGAATTTTAATCTTGGCTGTTCTTTCCATATGTGTGTGGGGGTGTGTGTGTGCATATATGTGTGTGTGTATGCCATTGTAGAATTTTAAACTTGTCCTTGTCCTTATTTGGGAAATGTTGTGCCCACAATTAAAATAAATCTTCAGATCGTCTCTCATTATTGATGTCATGAAATCTGTGTCCTTACAACCTGCTTCCACCTGTCACTAGGATCCATGGCAGAGCCATGGAGTAGAGACTGGCCTGTTGTGAACAGAGAAAATCTGTGGAAGGACTCCTTTTGAGCTAATAGTTTGTCGGGACTGGGTTTTTGTAATTCAACTTTTAAATTTTTATAAGATTTTTTTCATCCTATTTACATGTATCAGGGTGTTTTTTTTGCCTGCCTGCATGTATGTAAGTATGTATGTATGTATTTATGTGCACTATCTACATGCTGGTGCCTGCAGAGACCAGAAGAGACTGTCATATCCCCTAGAATTGGAATTATGGGTGCTTGTGAGCCACCATGTGGGAACTGGGACTAGAACCTGAATCCTCTGCAAGAGCAACAAGTGCTCTAAAAACCACTGAACCATCTCTCCAACACCCTGGAACTCAATCCTTTAGTTCCTTCTATTATTTTATGAACTTCAATATCTGGATAATAAATAATCAAAGAAAGGAGTTCTCTGAAAAGAATACTTGGAAATGATCCATGGAGGAGCAATTAAGTAAGTGTATTTAATATATTCTGTAAAAAGTAGATGAGTAAGTATGAGGTAACCTCTATATGTCCATAGAACAGATCTCAAGGACCAGTCATAGATAAGGAAGGGAGTTACGCTGCATTCTATCCTAACACGTTTAGACCTGGAAAGAGAACTGAAGTCGGGTAGTGAGTGAAGAGAAACCGCCCCCTTTCCATCCCATGCATGGCCATTATCTTAAGTATCTATTTACAGAGCATAGATTTACATACTACGCCCATGATTAAAAATTACAAGTTTTAAACAGATTAAATATTAAAAATCAAAGTGAAAATAAAATGTTAAATGCTACTATAGAATAATTATAAAATGAGAATATAAACAAAGTATGCAATCTAGGAAAAAAATGCCAGGCAGTAGTGGTGCACATCTTTAGTCCCAGCACTTGGGAGTCAGAGGCAGGTGGAACTCTGGGTTCAAGGCCAGTTCACTGTCTACAGTGTGAGTTCCAGGTTAGCCAAGACTACATAAAGAAACTGTCTCAAAAAACAAACAACAAACAAAAAAGACAAGTGAATCTCTGAGGACAGCAGGGCTTCATTGAGAAACCCTGTGTTAACCAAAATACAGAAATAAATAGATAAAGAAATAAATACTGACTGACAAGCTAAGTCCAGTCCCCAGAGGCCACATGGTGGAAGGAGAAAACCAATTCCTGCAGGTTATCTTCCGACCTCCACATGTGAACCTTGACACACGTGTGCCGACACATATGCATACACACACTCGATCAACACGTCTGAGAAATAGAGAAAGGAAATGATTGCAACAGAAACCGACGAGAGAAGCTGAAATAATGGAAGACACTCATGATCCCCACACTCAGGAGGCTGAAGCAGGAGGATTGTGAGGCAGAGACCAACCTGAGAGACCTAGCAAGTCCCTAACCAGCTTGAGCTGCAAAGCAAGACCCTGTCTCAAAAAATTATTATTATTATTATTAAAAGAATAAGCAGATTTAAATACTAGGAAATACTTTTTCAGTGTGTGAGATGGCAATAGTCTAGAATAAAAAGCATCCAATATTTTATGTGAAAAAATAATTCTTCACACATGGAACAATAGGTGTTTTAAACGCACACTGTTCAGTAAGTCTGAGTGATCCCAAGCAGAACTGCCTCCAAGACAACGGTCAGAGCAGAAGGCCAAGCTGTCCCCCCATCCTCCGCTCTGCTGCACTCCACATGCACAATTTCAGAGGTGCTGGTTCTCCTACAGAGAGCCCCACCTGAGGGGCACCCTCGCTGTCTTCACTCCCTGGTTCCAAGCTTGACCCATCATCACAGGTTCTGTCTTCTCTTCCTGCTGTTTCAGGTCTTTGACTTTTCTCTCACTGAAGAAGAAATGAAGGACATTGAAGCCTTGAATAAAAATGTCCGCTTTGTGGAGCTGCTCATGTAAGTGTCCCAGGACCACTACTCAGGTAGTGCTTGTCACGTGATAACCAAGAAGGCTCCTGTGCACCCTTACCCAAGCCCATAGATCACCAAAGTGAGGGATAAGCAGTGTGTTCTGAATAGTAGACATACCTGGGTCTTAGCTAAGGCATGATGTGGAGACAAGGAGAGTTAACCCTTCATGCTACACCTGCTACAGCCACAACACAAATTCTGAAAGAATATTGTTTACTTCTGACGAAAAATCAAAGCTATACGCAAATTGGAGCAAATTTATTTTTAAAAAATTCTGGGAAAGGCCCGCTCCTATAGTGTAGAAGGAATATCAGGTCGTGAGCACAAACCTGAAGTTTTAGTCAAATACTTTGTTGTCTGTAAAATTTAGGGCTTTGGGGCTGGAAAGATGGCTCAGTGGTTAGCAACACTTGCTGCTCTTCTGAGGACCTGGTTCAGTCAGCACCCTTAGCACGCAGCTCATAATCACCAACAACTTCCGTTCCAAGGGATCCAAATCCCTCTCCTGGCCTGCAAAGGTACCTACATGCATACGCTACACATAAACTTACACACACACATACACATAAATAAAACTAAATAAATAATCTGAGTGTGATGGTACATACCTTAAATTCCAGCCCTCAGGAGACAAGGGGATCTCTGTGAGTTCAAGGCTAGCTAGTGCTACCTAATGAGCTCCAGGCCAGCCAGGGCTACATACTGAAGACCCTGTCTTCAAAAATAAATGCATAAACAAATAGGAGCTGGAGATATGGCTCAGTGGCTAAGAGTACTGGTTGCTCTTCCAGAGGACCTGGGTTCAATTCCCAGCATCCACATAGTGGCTTATGATTATCTGTGACTCCATTTCTCGGGATTCTGATACCCTCTTCTGGAACTAGGCATGCACATGGTACATAGGCATAGATGAAGTGAAAACACCCGTACACATAAAAAATTATAAAATAAATCTTTTAAAAAGGAGCTAGCTATCTAAGCTATGTCTATCAGCTACCTTATCTATGAGACTTTTGTACACCATGTAACGATGTTGTCAAGCTCAGCCAAGACACCAAAGTAACCCTCTGTTACCTAAACATTGTAGGCCTTTTAAACTAAAACTGGTGTGGCTTACACACAGATAGTCAAATGTGTATATGTATGCACACATGTTTTTTGGTTCTTCATCATTTCCCATTACTTTTTCTGATTTCTCAAATCATATTGGCCATCACTTTCTTTATTTGGTCTTCTCCTTAGCACCCATTAAGATAATGCATAGAGTTGGAACACAATTGATCTCGGTACTTTTCATAAGTCAGAAAGTATCCTGGATGGCCTGGTATTGATTTTTTGAATGGCTGTGATAAAACATCTCCTTAATGTGAATTTCCAAGGGAGAACACTGCTTAGTCTATAAAGATACCACCCAGCCTCAAAGCACAGTAAGAAAACACAAATACACATGACAGTTTGCTGGAAACTAAGCTGTAAGCTAATCAATACCTCTTGAAGATATGTTAGTCTACTTAAAAAATATCATTAAGTTCAGAAGAGATAATAATATGGACTGAATCTACCATCCTATTGATTTTCTTTTACTAACAGCATCGTTTGATTCACATTTGAAATAGTTAATACCAGTTTCAGCAATACTAGGGGGAATATGACTCATTTGGGCAGAAAAACAATTAGAAAATCAACAAAGTGATACAAGATTAAGCTCCATTAACTTTTTAAAAATGTGTCTTTGAAAGGTCCTGGGCTATGATATTTCCCTGATGCTATTTTGTTGACCTCTGATATTGAAGAGCCCTGTTTGTTTTATATTTTTGTGGTAGCTGCAGAGAGCTAAATCTTGCTTATGTTCTATGACAGAAACGCACAGCACTCCTGACTATTATGGCCATTTTCGCCTTTGTTATTTAAGAGGTAGGGTCATCATCATCATTATCATCATCATCATGTTCATTATTACAAACAGTATGAGATAGGTCCATCATCATCATTATTATAAATAGTAACAGAATTTAAGTACAGGCAGACAAGACTCTCATCTTGCTTTGTTCTGGTGAAATAATGTAGCTGCAACTAACCTTTCCTGGCCTGTTGGGTGTGTGTTCACATCATGGTAAGGTGCTGCCTTAAGAGGAGATGAGAAGGAAACACAGGGAACAAAAGGTAAAGGACTAGAAACAGAAAGGGAAAGGGAATGATCCTCTCAAAGGATGTTGGCAACCCAGCTGTTCCACCATTAGAGTAAATTGTCTTCCTCTTGGGGAATTGTTTTGGCAGGTGGAAGAACCATCCTGAATACCCATTTTATGACGAATACTGAACACAGACAGTTCTTCAAAACAGTTTTTTTCCCTCATTCAGGATCTTGAGCTGGGTAATCCTCCTCTCCAAATATGGAAATAAATGGGGTCTGGCTATCCTCAGATGAAGCTGAATAAAACACACCATGCTTAACTTTTGTGTAGTATGAACTCAAATAGGCTCTGATGAAGAAGAAAAAAAGATTTAAATCTGCCTGAATAGTTCTTTGAAAAATGCTTTTCTAATATTTTTAGATCAATGTCTTCTAGGTTTTGATGGAGAACATTAAACTTTACTTCAAAAGTGGCATATAAGAGCAAAGTCTGACTCATGAATATGAAACTATCATAGGAAGTCTGCATTGCTTAGCCTTTAGCAGGACAACAAAGAAGTTTGTATCTGGCATGCTTCCAGGTGCTGACCATGATCTTGACCCGGTTTGGGTCATTGGTTGCAAGATGACACACCCAAGACAGAAATCCACATGCAAATAATGATTAATGCACCTTGAGTAGAGAGAGAACCAGAAGTCTAGAAAAGTCTTAAAGAAAAAACATATAGCAGGTTGGGCAAGGGCTGTTGGGCTCTACTAGAGTGCTTACCTGGCATGTTGGAGACCCTGGTGAGGGCAGGAATGGGAATGATCAGCAAAGCCATAATGATTTTGTTTTCTCCTTTGTTCCCACCTAGTATGCCCAATCAGCTTTTACTATGCTTGAAGGATAGAAAGCACTGATTCTTTCTTCAATTCTTTCTAGCTCAGGGTTGTGGGGAGTGGAGACTAGGTTTCATGTAGTCCAGGCTGCCCACAGACATGCTGTGCAACCAATACTGGACTTTAATTCTGAACCCCTGGTCTCTATTACATTTTTAAGGGCCTGAGCCACCACATGACTGGAAAGTCATACTGTACTCTACTATAAATCATTCTTGCCCATACTCATCAAGAAAACCATTATGTAAGGTGACTAGAAACAACCAACAGATACAATTCAAGCTTTTTGTCATTAAATGGCCTAGAGATGGTGATTTTGAATGAATGAAGTTTTAAAGGAGGAGTTGAGAAATATTAGAAGATATGGTCTTTAAAAACTACTTTTACAAGGGCTTAAGAATATATTGGGGTAGCTCTCTGAATTTTGATGAAGTTGCAAGTTCTAAAAGAATATGAATAATTTTACTATATGTAAATTTTTGAGAAGCAAATTAAATAATTACAACTGTACCTATTTTTAATTTAACTAGAAAAATATAGTATATTTGTTTATATTAGATCACTTTCAATGGGTAGAATTCTTCAAATATCATATTCTTCCAATAACAATAGATAAAATTAAATTGCCCAAAGAGAAACATTTTTGACAAATTATGAGTTAAAAATGTGATTTCATGAACCACTTTTTTTCAGTGTAAATGTCAACAATGCTGTTCTGTGGAAAATATTTTATCTACAATAATTAATAAAGTATGATGATTTGCTCTACTACATTATCTCTGTTCTGTTTCTAAGGTTGGAGGAAGCATCTTCATCCAAGTAAACTGAAAAGGGCCTGAGGTTGAGTTTTTACTCTGCCTAAGTGGCTAATCAGACCAAGACTCAAAACTTGGGTCGATTTTCCTGGTTGGCAGTACTGTAGATAAATTGTCATACATGATTACAAGGGGCAATTAAGCAATATCTGTGAAATTTTACTGGAAAAAAACAATAGAAGCCTGCACCTGTCAAACTGTCTTTCAAACTGTCAGATTCCATTCCCTTTTCAAAGTCTTGTAGGCATATAATAATGCAAAAACAAAAAATTCATTCAGTCCAACTTCAAAAGTCCCCTGTAGTCTCATTTAATAGTCTCAAACTTATTTAAAAGTCTAAAATTCAAAGTCTCTTCTGAGATTCATGTGATGATTTCATAACTGTAATCCACTGTAAAATCAAAATCAAAAAGCAGATTATGTACTTTCAGCACGTAAAGGCACAGGATATACATTAACATTCCAAAACATAGGGAAGGGAGTATAGTGAGGAAACACTGGACCAAAGCAAAACTGAAAACCAGTTGGCAAACTCCAAACTCTGCATCTCCATGTCTTACATCAAAGTGCTCTTCAGATCTCCAGCTCCTTTCAACTTTGTTGACAGCAACACACTGCTTTCTCTTGGGTTGGTTCCATTCCCTGCCAGCAGCTTTCCTTGGCAGATATCCCACAGCTCTGGCATCTGCAGCATCTTGGGGTCTCCAAAAAATCTAAGCTTCAACTTCACAGCTTTATACAATGGCCTCTCTAGGCCTTCATTCAGGGATGCCTGTAATGGTCTGCTTTGTTCCTTTAAGAGACAAGCTACGTCCACTTCCCTTCCCTGTCTGCCAAGGCAAGCAGATCTTCAGCTTCCAACCTGAGTTCTTCTTTTTCATCTCTCTCTCAAAGAGGCAGTTTTTGGTATCTTCTTTCTCCCTCCCCACTTCTCCCCTTCCCCCTTCTGTTTCTCTCTCTCTCTCCCTCTCTCTCTCTCTCTTTGCTTTTCTCCCCTTCCTCTTCTGTAATCCACTGAATAAATATCCAACCTCACTCTGCATGGTGTGCCTATCCATGTCTCTGTCTCTCACCTGCCCATGGCTCCTTGCCCAGGACCAGTCATCTTCGGAGACCTGCAGCATGATCTCATGGCATGCCCATCCATCTGTCTCTCCTTATGGGACTGTCTGCCCAGTCAAGGTCTCTCACCCACCACGCAGCTCCCTGCCTGGAACTCATGGCCTGCTGCAGCCAACCCTGCCTGGGACTCACTGTTCTCTGGACCCATTGCCTGCTGCCTGCCACCACTTTGGGAACATACAGTGTGGTCTTGGGACCCACTACCCACTGCCTGTCACCACCTGCCACTGCTCAGGGACCTGCAGCATTTGTGCCACTGTGCCCCTCAGGGAACCTGCAGCATTTTTACTTAAACCATTACAATACTCCTGAGACATGCCTGACTTAGTGGCTTTCCTCAATTGAAGAGGCAGGTTCCATAGCCCCTTTCTTCTATCCTTATCAGACCTGTCTCCTTAAAAGACCACACTTACTTCAAAAGGCCACACCTCCTAATAGTGCCATTCCATTTAGGGGTGATTTTCTTTCAAACCATCACACCCTACAGGACCTTGAGATCAAGAGATGAGCATTTTCAAGGCTGAGGAAATGGCTCAGTTAGTAAAGTGCTTGTCAGGTAAGCATGAGGACTGGAATTCAATTTCCATTACCATAGCACTATGAACCTGCAGAACAAATCCTGCTAATGGGGAAGCAAAACCAAGTGGATCTTTAGGGCTGGTGGCCAGCCACTAATCTAGCTGAATTATCAAGTTCCAGATTCAGTGAGAGACCCTGCCTCAAAAATGAGGTAGAGGACTGGGGAATAGGAATGGTACTTCACAATGACCTCTGACCTCCGACAAATACAAATATAAGCATGCACATACAAAGATACATATTCACAAAAAATAAATAAGTAAAGTAATAATAATAAATGTAAAAACATGTTATGGATGTTTGCCTCAGAATTTTGTATCTGTGTATTGAGAGTCTATATATTTTTTTCATCAAAGACCAATTTTGCAAATTCATGTTTTTCTCACAATATACTACTATTTTATGGTATAGGAAACGTGTATTTGCAAATTTATGCAACACATGTTTTGTGTGCTTGGCTGGCTCCTTGGGCTGCCTCACTGAACACAACAAAGATCTGACTTCAGCACTTCCATTGTTACTCCTTAATGGCTGCTAATTTTCCTACACCATAGCCTTTTTTTTCTTTCTATTCTTAGTCTTACAAGTTTGCTGTCAATTGATTTGCGGTTAATCAAGTTCTTTGTTCCTTCTTGTTTTTTTTCTGGGTTTCACCTAGAATAAATTTACAAAGAAAAGAAAAAAAATATAACCTGTTCTGTATTTCCATTCATTCATACTTAATTTTCTTATTCTCATATTTTTCCCGTTTTTCTTTGCTTACCAACAGTATCCTCACTTCTTAGGTTAAGTACCCCTTTGACCAAAGTTTTTAGTTTGGTTTTCTTTCTTGTTTAGTGATATAGACACTGAACACAGTGAATTTTTCTAAGTACTGTTGTGGTTAAGATTTTACAAATGTAGTGTTTCGTTTTCTTTCTAGGCATTTCCTTAACTCCTATTTTAATTAATTTTTGATTAATAAATGTTTATTGATGGCTAGGGAGATGGCTCACAGGCTGGGAGCACTTCCTGCTCTTCCAGATGACACCCACATCAGATAGCTCACGACTACCTGTAACTCCCATTCTTGTAGATCCAGTGCCCTCTTCCAGCTTCCTCAGGCATATGTACACAAATGGCATAAACTTACACAGACATATACACACATACACATAATAAAAATAAATAAAGTAGTAAATATTTAATAGCTATTTGCAAGCTATTTTATTTTAATTTCCAATATGAAAGTTTTATCTTCCTCGGTTCATAGTCATGCTGAGCTCAGATAACAACATGAATTAGTCTTCTTACTGTGAGGTCGGGACAATTTGAAGTATGTCCTAAAGTCTTGAGCTGGATAGAGTGGACGTATTGTCATGTGTTATCAGTTTTTACCTCTGAGACTGGAGAAGCCACACTGAGTGATTTAATTCCTTTACTGCCCTGGTTTTAACTAGGGGCAGTCATGTCCCAGCCTGCTCCAGAAGACATTTGGCAGTGTCTGTGACTGCTTGTCACAACTGGGGCTGGGGGCACATATAAATGGAATGAGGAGGCAGAGGCAAAAGAATTGCTAAATACCTTTCAGTTATCAGTTCTTACAACAATTATCCAGCCCCAAATGCCAGTCAGGCAGAGGCTGTGACGCTTTGCTAACACAAGCTCTTAATAGATGTTAAAATACACTCATTCCCATGCCGTGATTTCAGCTAATTGTATGTAAGTGAACATCAGTCCACTGAGGCTCATTGCCACCGTGCTTAATGTAAACATCCCATCTTCTGCAAAAGAATAATATCAGTGTAGCACAAAGGAACACACAAAGTGAAAGGAAGACAATTCCTTTTCTGCAAAAAAAGGTGAGCTATGACCTAAATCTGGCTATTGAGTAGCACACTCAACCTATATAGTTTGGTTTTTTTTTTTTTTTTTTATCACTGATGTAGGAGGTGACTTTATCTCATCCCTTTGATGGAAGCACAATTTCACATCTGAGGGGATTGGTTAATCAGTTCACAGGGGATAGAGGAAGTTCAAGAAAAATGAGCACTTGTCAGACTAAACAACTTTGACAAAACAAACAAACAAACAAAAGAAAACTAACATCCCTCATTGTTTATCCATGCCTCTTTGTGCCTTTTATCTTTTCGCAGGTTATTAAACTAACGGTGGGTGTGGTGGTTTGAATAGGTACGGCTCCTATAGACTTCTGTGTTTGAGTGCTGGCCCTTAGGGAGTGGGGCTGCTCTGAGGCACAGCTTTGTTGGAGTGGGTGTGGCCTTGTTGGAGGGAGTGTGTCACTGTGCAGGTGGGTTTTGAGGTCTCATATACGCTGAAGCCATGCCCAGTGTGATAGACAGTTGCTTCTGCTGTCTGCAGATCAAGATGTAGAACTCTCAGCTCCTTCTCCAGCACCATGTCCACTGCATGCCACCATGAAGACAGTGGACTAAACTTCTGAAACTGTAAGCCAGCCCCGCCCAATTAAAAGTTTTCCTTTATAAGAGTTGCTATGGTCGTGGTGTCTCTTCACAGCAACCGAAACTCTTCACTAAGACAATGGGTTTCACACATTAGTATATGAGTTTAGAGCAGATGGATAAATAAATCCCAATAAAAATAGTAAATGCAAAAAGAAAAAATTATAAAGTGTTTCCTTGGCACATTAAGAGCAAATTACTGTAGTGAATAGCAGGATGCTATCAAAAGATGGGGACAGAGAGTACATTTAGATGAAGATTTACTCCCCTCACCCCCACACACAGATTCCTTGAAATAACTATGCAAATTAAGAAGGTCAAATCTATGTCACCTCTTGAATTAAAAAAGGGAGTGCTGCCATTCGGAACTTCAAGGACTAAAGGAACTGAATTGGCAAAGAAATGAAAGAAACTGTAATCTAAAATGCACAGGAATCACTGCTTCAAATATAAGGGCACGATTAGACATGCTCCAGCCTTACAGTCAACTAGAAGCACTGGTAGGCAGCTGGGGTGGAGGGTTGATTGGTTGCCTAGCATGCATAAAGCCCCAGGTTGGATCTCAGAACTGCATAGAACAAGACATGATTGTGAGCATTCAGGCACCTGTACTGGCCTGATCTTGGGGTTCTGACAGGATCCATCCTCAGTTGCAGCCACTAAAGGCATCTGCAGTGCACATTCACTACATTCCCTTTTAAAAGGACCCTGCCCACCTCCCATCTCTCTCTCTCTCTCTCTCTCTCTCTCTCTCTCTCTCTCTCTCTCTCTCTGTCTCTCTTCCTTCCCT